TGCCGGCTGCTGCCATGTGCGGCGTTGGAGGTGGGTGGGGCCCGGGAGTGACGTGACGTCATGCCCGGGATTTTAAAACTCCGTGGAGGCAGGTTATGTGGCGGCCTCCGGGTCCTGAGCGCTGACTCCAGCTCCGCAACATGGAAGGCAGAAGGTAGGGAAGGGGCTTGTGCAGTGGGGCAGGGGCAGGGGCTTGTGGGGAAGGAAAGGGGCTCATGAAGCGGGGGAGGTGGAGGGGAAGGGGAAGGGGCTTGTGGGGAGGGGGAGGGGAAGGGGCTTGTGTGTCAGACTTTTTCCTGATGTATTCAGCAGTAAGTACTCTGAACAAGATTGAAGAAGTAGCCAACTATACTGCTTTTCAATTCTGTCATGTCAAGAATATCAAGCCTGGTTTTGGCTATTAATTTTCTTTTGGGCAGGATCCTCAACTTCTGCTATGAAGTGGCAAAGTTCTATTGAAGTAAACAGAACTTTATTTATGCCATCTGACTTTTTCCTGATGTATTCAGCAGTAAGTACTCTGAACAAGATTGAAGAAGTAGCCAACTATACTGCTTTTCAATTCTGTCATGTCAAGAATATCAAGCCTGGTTTTGGCTATTAATTTTCTTTTGGGCAGGATCCTCAACTTCTGCTATGAAGTGGCAAAGTTCTATTGAAGTAAACAGAACTTTATTTATGCCATCTAAGACTCTAGCCCTCTGTCTCTGAAATTTTTGTTCAAGTATGTTTAAGGACTCAGTGGCCCATTCAGGATTGGGGATCTGTTATATAGGACACTATACAAACACATAAAGAGACTAGGTCCATACTGTAATCTACTTACAATCTAATTTTTAAGTAGCAAAAAATCAGATAAAGCGAGGAAAGGGGTGGAATTGAGGGTAACAGTAGGAAGTAGGGATGTAATAGGATAAGCCTGGGCTTATCAGTTACCCTGAACGGTTACCTGGCAGAGCAGCAGCTCAGGGCGGTAGCCAGCTCCCTGGGAGCAGGGCCAGCAGGCGGGAGCCGGTACACACTGGGAATGGGCTTAAAAGCTGGCTCTCAGCGTGCATCAACTCCCAGGGAGCTGGCTGCCATCCTGCTGTGGGTGCATGTAACCACTGACATTTTCAGCAGTTGCATGGTTACCCAATTACCTGCATTTTATCATCCTTAGTAATAAGACCCCAGTTTTGCAAGGTATTAAAGCATGCTTTTAACTTGAACCACATTAGTAAATGGAACCAATCATATGATGAATATTTGGCATATCCTTAAGTCCTTTACTGAAGCATGGCTTAAGATTCTAGAGTCGCCTGTGTTGTCTAGTGCCCAGCTTTATAGTTTCAAAATGTTATAATTGTTATAAAAGTTAAGTGTTAGCAGAAAAACAAGGAAAACAAGTAATGGAGAAAATATCTGAAATTTGTTTGAATTTGTTGAGGTATTCATTCAGACCTTATTAGTGGCCTACAAAGTAAAGCATTCACAATGTATTGTGATTACTATTGATGACAATATTTACAATAGTATCCAGAGGCTTCAATCAAGAATGGTTACTTGATTGTTCTGGTTTATTATACAAAGCACTAGAGGTGTCAATTAATCACAGTTAATGCATGCAATTAATGAAAAACAAATTAGCTAGACTAAAAAAAGGTAAGGTTAATTGCAATTTTAATCTCTCTGTTAAATAATAATAGAATACCAATTTAAATTTATTAGACATATTTTTGGATGTTTTCTACATTTTTGAAGTAATTGAAATCAATATACAATAGAATACAAAATGGACTATGCTTGCTCACTCTATAAAGTGAGTGAGCATGGGCCACTCTGTATTCTATTTGCAAATTACAAATATTACACACTAAATATTTACACAATAAAAAAGATAAATAGAAGAAATAGTGTTTTTCAATTCACCTCATACAAGTCCATTATGTCCTACTTCTTGTTGAGCCAATCACTAAGAAAAACAAGGTCATTTAAGATTATAGAATACAATGCTGCTAGTTATTTACAATGTCATCTGAAAGCAAGAATAGGTAAGGAAGCATCATGGCCTCCTGATGACTCAGAGGAGGAAGGTCCCCTAAAGACCCCTTAGTGGGCGGTGCCAGAGTGAACCATCTCTGCCCCCAGGAAGCAGAAGGGCAGGGCTGAAAGCAGGGCTGGCTTTAGGAAGTGTGGGGCCCAATTCAAACAGTTTTGGCAGGGCCCCACCACCCAGGATTTTTTGTTGAGCAAAAAAAAAACCCCCAACCACCCACACCCCCACAACCACACATAAATATCACATCAGAAGTAGATATGATCAAAATGTATATCAATATAATTGAACATTTTCAACAACAAAAATGCCATCCTTTATTACGCAAAATTTTACACAAAATTAAATCAGTTGCCTTAAGTGCAGGTCAAATATTTTCAGTTGCAAACTATCCAATCTTTTCAATAAAGTTTGATTTTTAAAAAGTTATCAGAGAGAGTTGCAGTTTTCTGTTACGTTGATTTACTTTTTAAATAGCAAAAATGGAGTCTTTGTAAAGAAAGTGTCAGTTCTATGGTCAAATTCCAGTCCTTAGTGATTTCAGCACCAATGATTTCACTAGGTAATATGGTACCTCCCCACCATTGTCTCCTTTGCACTACCCTTCAACACATTGCCTGCATGTTGAGTCCGAGGTCAGTCTGCACAAGATTTTATCAATGATTTTTGCTCAAGCGATCACTGAGACAAGACAAGGACTCTCAATTGATTCTAGTCAGCTCTGCCTTTAAACGCTTTAAAGTGTCAGATATAATTGAGGACTCCCAAATAGACTACACCACCAGAAACAAAACCTGTTTCCATCTTCTGTGACTTTCAGTTAGATGTGACTCACTATCCTCTGTTTAGTGTTCAAGTTATTATGGTAGACCCTAAGCCAGGTCATATTAAGTTCAAGTCTTTTACCTTTTAATCATACAACATGGATAACAACATTTCATTCTCCCAGCTCCAAGTCTTAAGTGAATTTCAACCCAAAAGAGCCAAAATTGATCACCGAGGGTATGTCTACGCTACAAAGTTAATTCGAACTAACAGACATTAGTTCGAATTAACTTTGATAGGCGCTACACTAGCAAACCGCTAGTTCGAACTTAATTCGAACTAGCGGAGCGCTTAATTCGAACTAGGTAAACCTCATTCCACGAGGACTAACACATAGTTCGAATTAAGTAGTTCGAATTAAGGGCTGTGTAGCCACTTAATTCGAACTAGTGGGAGGCTAGCCCTCCCCAGCTTGCCCTGGTGGCCACTCTGGGCACCACCAGGGAAACTCTTCTGCCCCCCTCCCGGCCCCGGAGCCCTTAAAGGGGCACGGGCTGGCTACGGTGCCCGTGCCAGGTG